TGCCTAGCATGTGTGAGGCCCTGGGTTCAATTCCCACTACTACCCCCCCCCCAAAAAAAAGGTATATTTTACTATGTACCCAACTATCCAAGTGAGGAAACAGGTTTACTGAGTGTCTCTCATGAGCCCAGGTCACAGCTAGTCAGGAGTGGACATAGGACACAAACCCAGGTGGTCTGACTCTCCTGATTGACGGTCATAGTTCAGAGCAAGTCATTAACCCTGCATGAATGGTCAAGGCAGGTTTCCTGAGATCAGCCGTGGAGGCCACATTGGGTTGGCTCAGTGGGGCTTGTCTCTGCACTGCACTGGGTCCTGATGGTCACTGTCTTGGTTGCAGGTGCCCTGCTGCAGGAGGAAAGGCTAGATGCAGTGACTCTCCTGTATGCAACCTCGCTGCCCAGCTTCTGCCTGCTGGCGGGTGCAGCACTGGTGCTGGAGGCTGGTGTGGCCCCACCACCCGTTCCTACAGATTCCCGCCTCTGGGCCTGTATCCTGCTCAGCTGCCTCCTGTCTGTGGTCTACAACCTCGCCAGCTTTTCTTTGCTGGCCCTCACCTCCGCTCTCACCGTCCATGTGCTGGGCAACCTCACCGTCGTGGGCAACCTCATCCTGTCCCACCTCCTGTTTGGCAGCCACCTCAGCACCCTGAGCTATGTGGGCATTGCGCTTACCCTTTCAGGAATGTTCCTTTACCACAACTGCGAGTTTGTGGCCTCGTGGGCTGCCCGCCGGGGGCTGTGGCAAAGAGAGCAGCCTGGCAAAGGTCTTTGAGATCTGGGGGAACTCATGAACCACACCCAGGACAGCCTCATCCTGAATCAACCTTGGCCAATGGCCATGGGAAAAGTGGAAAACAGGCAGCCACCAGGCCAAGGGAAGGAGAGGCACCTTCTGGAAGGACTCCCTAAGAGCTGGAATGGTGACTTCCAGAGAGATCTACCTCTTGTCCCCACCTATCTTACCCTGTCACAGACCCCATCCACTGCGGGATGGTGGATCAAAGCCTGGCATAGTCACTGCACCTGTTGGACTAATTTTTATGATTAGTAAAAGTGTATCAACTATTACACTGAAATTTCTGGGCAAACTTTGAAAAATCTCAACGTGTTATGATGACAACGATTCTCAACAATTGCACAATTCTTCCTCCAGTGGGGTAAGCAGTGTGGGGTTCCAAGAAAGGGCTTTCCACTGCTAGATCCCTCAAGGACTTGGGGTAGTCTATGCCAACTCCAGGCAGCTGCTATAGCCTCATTCTTGGTCCTCCCATTTTTGGGTCTTCCATCCTCAAATAAACTATTTTTGCTTGGATCCTGTGTCATTCCTTGCGGGTACAGCCAAGGGAATAAAGGGAGAGCAGTGGGCCACCCATGCTGAAACTAGGACATTGTCTCTGACCTATCATAGCCTGTTCAAGCCCCCAGCCTAGCCCTGTTTTCTATAATCCCTCCATTAGCCAGGCCACTATTATCCATTTTTTGGACAGTGACATTGGCCTCCTCCCTGCTCTTCCCTGTCCCCTCTCCCAGGGCCCCTTCACCTGGAAGGAACTTTTCAAAAACACACATGCTCTGTGGCTTCATACTGCTCTAATGATATGGTCAGAACTTCCTACCCCAGACCACACACAGCTCTTGGGATCTGGCTCCTGTGGCTTCATCAGGCTCCTGTCTCACTTCTCTTTCCCTTGGACTCCGCCTTCCAGGCTCAGTAACTTCCTTCAGGTTCACACAATGCCAGATACACCCTTGCCAGAGCCTTTGCCCATGCTGTTCCCTCTGTCTGGCACCCTCCTACGCTCCTTCCTTCTTTCTGCTATACCCTTGCCAAGGGGGAAAGGTCAAACATGCACATCTCCCTTATTTTTTCGGTATTGACCCAGGGGTGTTTGCCACTGAGCTACATCCTTAGTTGTTGTTGTAGTTCATTTTTGTACCAGAGATTGAATTCAATGGCTCTTAAGCACTGAGCCACATCCCCAGGCCTTTTTTATTTTTTTATTTTTGAGACAGTGTCTTATTAAGTTGCTTAGGGCCTAGCTAAGTTGTTGAGGCCAGCCTTGAACTTGTGATCCTCCTGCCTCAACCTCCTGAGTCACTGGGATTATAGGCATGCACCACTGTGCCAGCCTACCTTGCCTTTAAAGACCAGAAGCTTGGAGTCATGGCACATGCACAGAGAGGCTGAGACAAGAGGATTGCAAGTTTGAGGCTGACCTGGGCAAGACCCTGTCTCAAAATAAAAAATAAAAGGGGCTGGAGGTGTAGTTCAGTGGTAGAGTACCCTGGTTTAATTGCCAGCAATGCAAAAAAAAAAAAAAAAAGCGAGAGAGAAACCTAGGGGTTAGGGTTTGTGGGTGGGTGGCTCAGTGATGGAGCACTTGCTAAACTGTTCTGGGTTCTATCCATAGTGCGTGCACGCTCTCTCTCTCTCTCTCTCTCTCTCTCTGTCTCTCTCTCACACACACACACACACACACACACAAAAGCATGGTGGCCTGTGCCTGTAGTGACAGGTTTTACAGGCTTAAACAAGAGGATCACTTGAGCCCAGGAGTCTTGAGATCAACCTGGGCAACATAGCAAGACCCCTTTGTCTCAAAGGGAGAGAGAGAAGCCCCAAAAGGAAGACTGCTAGGAGAGGGTCTTAACAATGGGCCATGCCACAGGGCTGTGGGTGAACAGGGTAAAGCATTGGGGTATCCCCATTGAGGAAGTGGGAGCACTCAGCAGGTAGCACTCAAAGTTAGCCCAGGGCCTTGAAAGGAGCAGAGCTCCCATGCAGAAAAACTAGGGCAGGAGTTTCTATCCCTAGAGCTAGCCTGGAGTCCTGTGACCAGCTGTCCCCCACCCTCAGCCTTGTCACATCACCTCTCTGTCTTTCTTTGGTGCTTCCTTATACCCAGCTACCTCCCCTCAGGGATCACCTGTTAAAAATGACAAGGATCCAGCCTAGAGCTGGCAGTCCAGGGGCCGAATCCTGCTCTGCCCACCTCACTATGAATGTTGGGTAGGTACCCTCCCTTCTCTGTGCCTCAGTTCCATATCTGTAAAATGGGGCTGATGATTCCAATGAGGAGGATTTTAATGAGTTGCCACTGGGCAGCATCAGAGATGAGAAAGAAATTGATGGTGCCAGCTGTCTCTATCCCTATCTTGGGTAGTCACCTCCCCATTTCTAAGGTTCCAGACCCATCTGGAAAATGTCTCTTCTTGGTTGAGGATGGGGAGCTAAAACAGGCTGCAGCTGGGATCTAGGAGGACTGAGGTTCAGGGAGGAATCACTCATTTCTTTATGTAACCAGAATTCCTAAAGGACCACTGTGCCAGTCAGTACTAGGTGGGGCTGTGTGAAGGGTCAATCTAAGGCTGGGTAGTGGCCAGCTGGTGAGGGACTAGGAATAGAGGCACAGGGGTTCCTGGCCCCTGACTCCACCCAGGCTGGCTTTGCAGGAGGGGAAATGGACCTAGTTGAGTCACCCGCCACCCACCCTCCCTGTGACTCAGAGATGCAACTAGCCCAGCCCCACCCTCATGTAGCTTGGGCACTTCTGAACTCCACTCTCAGGCTTGGCCAGGCAGAACAAAGGAGGATGGCTTTGGTTTGGCTGAGCCTCCTCAGAGACTCAGGACCCTTCCCAACTTGAGAGGTCCTATTGCCATAGCAGGAGCATCCCTGCACCACCCTCACTCAGGGTCCTGGGCTTGGTGGGATGCTTGGCTAATAAGTGAGCTCCCCGTCACATCAAACCCTGATGGTTATGGGGAGTAATTAGATATGAGCTTGACTTGGAAACTAGTTCATCACCAGATTCAGGACCATCAGGTATCTAAGTTTCGCCCCAACAAGGCCACAGCCAGTGCCTTCCCATCACTCCTCCCAAGCAGTGGGCACAGAGACTGGACTGAGTCAGAAAGCCTGGGTTTCAGTACGGGCCTTTGCTACTCATGGCATGATTTCAGACTGGCCTCTTCTGGCCTCATAGTGTTGTTAGGAGTTATCACAGGGAGACCAATGGGGAGAGTCCTAGTGAAGGTCATTGTACTTTAAGGCTTTGTCTTTCACTAGTTTCTGTTGCCTCTGGCAAGTGGCTTCACCTCTCTGAGTCTCCATATTTGCATCTAGTCCCCATCTTTGCATCTAGTCCCCCCTGCTAGGAAGCTTTCTCAGGATAAGAGATGTCACCGCCCTGAAGCTCTTCTCTCCTTGAACCCTATACCATGCCAAATTGAGTTTGAAGCTCCAGCTCAATGGCACCCCAACTCCTTACACCACTCCAGGTAGGGACCCAATCATATCCCATCCTCTGAGCTAGATCAATTTCTCTCTTCTACACCAGATCAGATTTCAAGGTGACCTGCTGCTCTCTCCCCAGACATCAGCACAGGGTATGGCAGGGACTGGGTGGTGGAATCCTCCCTTATCCAAGGGAGATGTGTTTCAAGACCCCCCATGGGTGACTAAAACTGCAGATGGTAACTTAATCATATGTAGCCATATTTTTTCTATACATACATAAATTAAGTACCTTTTCTATCTTAACTAAGCACGCAATCACACACTGCAGCTGTAACTTTTGCAATTTGAGGTGTGACAGCAAAACTTGCATTTTTTCCCTTCACAATTTTAGATAGAAGTTTCATTCTTACAATAGATCTTAGTAATCTCAGTATATGATTTTTTTTCTTTCCTTGTTGAGAACATTCTTTTCACTTAAAGAAAACACTTTACACATTATCTCTGTCACATCCAAATTGCCAGCATCACTATTATTGTGCTTTGAAGGTATCCATTAAGTAAAATAAGGGTTATTTGAATATAAGCATTGTGACACCCCAGTTGATCTGATAACCATGATTAAGAAAACACCTACTAAGTGGATAACAAGTGAATAGCATATACTGAGAGGAAACATTGGGAGAAGGGATGACTTACATCTAGGCAAGTAGAAGTTGGACAATGTGAGATTTCATCGTGCTACTCAGAACAGAATACAATTTAAAACTTACAAACTGTTTATTTCTGGAATTTTCCATTTAATATTTTCAGACTGCTCTCTTTACAGTGAATAACAGAAATAATAGAAAGTGAAATTGTAGATAAGAGATGGGGGCTACTGTACTAGTAAAGGAGTTCTGTAGTCAGACTTGGGTTCAAATCCTGGAGCTGGGAATGTGGAACTATGTGACAGGCAAGCACCTTCCCTTCTTGTGTCTCTGTGTGAAGCGGCAATAGCAGTAAAACCTAACCCCAATCAGCTTCAGAAAGGGCTTAGCAATAATGCCTAAAAACATAACAGGTCCTCAATTAAACTCACTCAAGGCAGATGCTTACCAGTTCCTCCAAAAAGCTCCTTGGGCCATCTCTCCTACCTCTTTGCCTTCCATTGCATATTGAGAGCCCCAAGAGCATGCTCCTGCCTGGGCAGAGTGGTGTGGATGTCCCAGCCTCCCCCCCTGGCCCCGCCTTGGAGGAAGCCAGGGAAGCTGAGGCCTTTCTGGGCATCCTGCCATCGTGAACTTGGGAACAAAGCCTTGTCTCAGTCCCAGCTGCCAGGGTGCCCTTCCTGCCCTCCCCTGGTGGCCCTTGGATTGTCATTCTAGGAGGCTAGGGCAAATGAGGACTCTTCTTACTCCCTTATTTGCCCCCCAAATAATCCGAGGGATGCCAGAAATTCTACCATCTCACTGTTTCTGCTCAGTTGCAAATGCTTTCTGGAAATAATACAAAATAGTTAACTGAGGGCCACTTCACAGGGAGCCATGGAAGGTTTTAAATAGAAAAGAGCCATGGTCCTCAGTATATATTTCTTGAAAAAAAAAAAAAAAAGAATCTTCAATTTCTTCTGGACCCTATGTGGAGGAAAAATTAGGAGCTTGAGCCAAGGGTCAGGGAGACTAGGGAAGACCTGTTGTGGTGGTCCGGGTGAGCAGATGATAACAGAGACAGCACTGGGGACAGTTGTATTGATTTAGGATAATAATTTTTTAAAACATTAAAGGAGGCCATTATTTTGGACTAAGATTCTGCAGTAGGGCCTAATACACCAGTCTAAACATTAAAATGGAGTCACCTATGCTCACGTTCTGCATCACTAAACTGAAACTGGTTGTTATCTGACCTTAATCAGAAATCAGGAGATAAGGAAAAACAACCAAAATTCCCCAACAGGCTGGTTTCAACTGGCATGACAATGAAGTTTCTGAGCTTTAATCTTTTAATTCTACAGAAAGTAACCTAAAGTAATCTGATATTAACCAGTTATTCTTCTAGTGTTCTGTTCTCCCTGCCAGCATCTTACAAAGAAAGTGACTTTGACATGATTAATCAGCTATTTTCTTTTTTGGTACCATGGATTGAACTAAGGGGCACTCAAACACTGAGCCTCATCCCAGCCCTTTTTTTTGTATTTTATTTGGAGGCAGGGTCTCACTGAGTTGCTTAGAGTCTCAGTAAATTGTCGAGGCTGGCTTTGAACTCGCCATCCTCCTGCCTCAGTCTCCCGAGCTGCTGGGATTACAGGTGTGCACCACCGTGCCCAGCTACCAATCAGCTTTTTGTTCTTTGTTTCTGTTTTATTTAGTCTTTCTCTGTTCATAAGACTTTCTGCTCCATCCATAAGAATACTTATTTTACTTTTTGATTGTTTGTTTTGCTGAATACTGAGGATATCCTACCACTGAGCTACATACCCAACTCCCTTTTTTTTTTTCATTTTTTGAAACAGAGTCTCACCAAGTTGCCCTGGCTGAGCTCGAACTTGTATCCTGCTTCAGCCTCCTGAACATTGAACGAAGGGTAGACTTTTCTAGAATCAAACAACCAATTAAGATTTTAAAATCAAAATTATTCCCAAGAATAATGGCTTAAGGCAACAAAATATGTATTATCTCCCAGTTTCAGCAGGTCAGGAATTTGGGAGTGGCTTAGTGAGGTGGATTTTGGCTCAGAGTATTTCGTGAAGTTACAGTCAAAATGTTGGCCAAAGTTGCAGTCTTCCAAAGGTTTGACAAAGGCTGAGGTTCTGCTTTCAAGATGGGTCATTCACATGGCTGTTAACTGGGGGCCTCAGTTCCTTGCCTTGTGGGCCTCTCTCTATGGCTCTTGGTATGGTAGCTATCTTCCACCAGAGTGATTCAAGAGAGCAAGGAGCTACAGTGTCCTTTTTAATCCAATCACAATGGTCACACTTTGTCCTCATTAGATTCCCTAATATCTTATTGCACAGGTCAAACCTGTTTAATACAGGCTGCCCACAGTTGACTCACACAAAGGCATGAACACCAGGAGGATGGGATCACTGCAGCCATCTGAGGTTGGCAAGTTTGTGAGTGACTGAGGATGTGAGGACATAACTTGGGGCTATAAGGTCCTTGCTTAGTATCTGGATGGCCATATTAAGTGACAGCCCTATTTTAGGTAAAGAGTTTCACTTTCCTGCCAAGGGTTCTTTCTGAGAAAGCCTCACCACTCCCTCTTACCAACCCAACTCTTAACCATTGCATTAGGACCAGCCTGGCTGATACCTGAACCTGCCCTATAAAAATCTCAGAACCCAAGCCTGTTTTGCCTCTCTTTCCTATAGAGAGATGGCCTTTATTTGTCAGCTCTGACAAGTAAACTCTCTCTGCCTAGTCTCCGTCTCTCATTTCTTGCTTACCAGTCTCTCGTTCCTCACTTTCCTTTCAGGGGCCACAGGGAATTAGTCTGGAAGCTTTCTGCTTCGGGTAGGATCTTGTCAACCACACTACTGTATGCCCCCTGACAAAGTACTGCACAATCTGATCCACAGCAAGCACTTAGCAAATGTTTGCTCTGTGAAAACTGCCTTCTGTCCTACAGACAGGACAAGTTATAGAATCCCCAGCTTGGTACTTGAAGCCCTGAATGCTCTGGTATTGCTAAGCCCATTCCATTGCCCCACCCCTGTTCCCTATGTCTATTATATACTGGAGCCTTCTTTCTTTCTTCTTTTTTGGTGGGGAAGGAGAGCATACTGGAGATTGAACTCAGGGTACTTGACCACTGAGCCACATCCCCAGCCCTATTTTGTATTTTATTTAGAGGCAAAGTCTCACTGAGTTAGTTGCTTATTGCCTTGCTTTACTGAGGTTGGCTTTGAACTTGCAATCCTCCTGCCTCAGCCCCCCCAGCCACTGGGATTATAGATGTCCGCCACTACGCCCAGCTTGCTGGAGACTTCTAATAATGAGGCTTCCCTTTGTCAGAGGACAGGGGTCTGAGAAGGTCCCTCTGTAACAGTGATTCACTTCATGCTTTTTTTTTTCGTTTTTGCCACTGTGACTTATTTTTAAAATGGACATGTTTCTTTCTCTTCCTCTACATCTTCTCCTCAATAATCTCAGGGGAAACAGGATTACCTTTCTTCCCCCATCCTAGGAGTTATCTGTCCTTTAGCACATACCACAGGAATGAAGTAATTCAGATTTAGGGATGGCACCAAAAGATCTAAGAAATGACAACCTCCCAAATTAGCAAGTGAATTACCACTCTAGATAGAGAACACTGGAATGTAGCCTTTGAATCACCCCTTTAAAAACCTACTTCCCCATGATGAGCAATCACAGCTCTGGACTTGAGTCCCCTGTGTTTCTCTTGCTGGCAAAGCCATAAAACTTCTTTTTCCTTTTCTCAAAACTGTGTCCTCATTATGGGATTGGCATTGGGGACAAGGACGGAGATTTCAAAATACCTCCAAGTGGGCAGTAGGACCTCAACTTGGCCTCAGTAAGGAACCTGATTTAGGCCACTGAAAAGAATTTCAGGATGCATCCAAAGAAAGGCACAAGATTTTAAAAAGTGATTACAAAGGTGCTATAATCCTTATAGTTCACAAGTCTGAGGCAGGAAGATCTCAAGTTCAAAACCAGCTTCAGCAACTAAGCAACTTAGCAAGACCCTGTCTCAAAATAAACAAACCAACCAAAGGGGGCTGGGGATGTGGCTCAGTGGTTAAGTACCCCAGGGTTCAATCCCTAGTTTAAAAAAAAGGGTGGGGGAGAAACAAAGGTGTACATCCCTGAAAGGCAAGGTGCAGACACCCTTCACCTCTCAGAGAAGAAAAAGACTAGTGATGTATTCAGGATTGAGCTCTCTGATTATATATAGGATTTTCCTGGGAAGAAATATGTAGGTTCCCACGCAAGCTTTTTTAAAATCAAATCCCATGTCAATCATTTGATATTTGGGTTTCAGAATGTTTCTTTTTGGTTAAGCAGTCTAGCCATAAATCAGTTGTGGGCGCATTATGTAGTTTTTAAGATCTGCTGATATTTAAATTAATTGGTTTTGTTCTAATTTATCTAGTACAAGCATACACTGGAGGTTTTGTTCATCTAACTAAAGAGACAAGCATGGCTAGTCATTCTCACAATTCATAGCAATTCTAAACAAAGCCTTCTGGGGAAGCCAGAATTGTACCCCTTGCTTCAGGACCCCTAGGTCACACCTAGTTTAAACAGATGAAAACTTTGAAAAGGCTTATAAGACTATGCCTCTTCTGAGGTAGGATCTAAACCCCTTTTTCTCCCCTATATGGAGTGACTTTCTAGAAAAGCACTTTGAAAACAATACAGGACTATGCACATATGAGAGGAAATACCTTGACTTGGGACCAGCAGGTCCAAAGAGTGAGTATATCATCCATAGTGAGAGATGTCCATTATGCTAAGCATGGACCATGACTGGCCTGGCACTATAGAATTGCTGAATCTTCACAGATGAGGACACTGAGGCTCTAAGAGGCCCTAGGTCACATTGAGGGTAGGTGTCAGGGCTAAGTTCAGGTTTGCAGATACAGCCTTTCAAGCTAGAAAACTCTGGAGACCTGACATGTCCTAGAGAAGGGACTATGCACCCTTAAGACTGATACTTAAGTGCTGTCACATACAACAGCACTCAAGAAAAAAAAATTTTAAAAATTTTATAATATTGGAATGTTTATTTGAAAACTATCTTCTGTGTAAATTTGATCTTAGAAAACTAGAGTAGGGCCACTGATGGATGTAGGTTGTTTGGGGCCTGTAGGGTTCCTAGAGCACTATTTGAAGGCCACTTATCCAGTAGGTTGGCACTTACTGTAAAAAGTTCAGGGGGTGCCATGATGCTTAAGGCTCTGGTTTTGGGTTGGAAGGAACAAAGTAGGATTGTGGCAGTCTCATTTATGAGTTGTTCAGTCTAGCGAAGGGCAGCAGGATTCCAGGCGCTGGTGCTCTGGTCTCTCTCCAGTGTACCACCTGCCTTATTTCACCCTCTGGCCAGCAGCCATGGCCTGCCACTCATAGGGTAGAAAATTTATCTTCACCTCTAACAATCAAGTTTAATCTTTAAAGATATAGGTTACAAAGTTGAAAGCTGTGGTATCACTTTCTTTTTTTTTCCCTTATAAAAGGTATCATCTAGTACATTCCTGTATCAACAAAGATCCTTCAAGTTCAGATCCTGATATAGGATCAACAATAGGTCTGTACTTGGACCCAAAGCAGGGGCCTAGGAGATGATTTACAGTGGAATCATTAAACGGACATCCTTCTCATAGATGTCAGGGATCATTCCCACTGGGGAGCTGACCATGTGTATAGTATTCTTGCCAAACAGCTGGAACTCATAATGGATGAGTTGCTCCCAAAAGCCAGCATTGGGTCGGATGATGGGCCGGCATGACTTGGTCCATGTGTGGGCATCTAGCAGGGACATGGCATGGTACTTCATGAGGTAGGCAAGGCACAAAGTGGCTGAGCGGCTCACGCCAGCGGCACAGTGTAGCAGTGTACGGCCCTGCTTCATTTCCACATTGTGGATGTGGTCGGCAATGGGGTCAAAGAAGTCATAGAGCTTGGAGATGGGTGCGTCAGCCACAGGCACCTGTGTATACTGGATATCCTCATAGATGGTATTTACCACCTCTACTGAGACATTGATGACTGAAGTGATCTGGTTGCTGGACAGCAAGAGCTTGTTGTTGGCAGCTACACCATTGCTGATGTACAGGCTTCTGGTGATCTGTGAGAGGCCGCTGATTGAGGGCTGCCGGAACTGAACTGGGAAGGTGCACAGGGGTGCTGTCATCAAGGCGGTGGGTCAGCAGTTGGTGACACATGAGGCCTGCATTTTTCTAAGCTGTGTCCCTGGAAAACTGAAGAGAGGGAGAGAATGTTTAGAGTGTAGGTGCCCAGCAGGCCAACCCAGGAGACTTCTGGGAAATGGACAGATGGGTTCATGGGATTCCCTAAGGCAGTCCTCTGACCATCACAGGAGAATCACTCAGGGAACTCACTAATAATACACATACCCAGATTTTGGCCCCTCCCCAAATACACCAAATTAGACTCTCAGGTAAGGGGCATAAATTTGCATTTCAGCTTGCTTCTTAGGTGATCTAATGCATACTGTCCTACAGAACAAAAGGCAAGTCCCTGAGCCTGGCAGTAGTGGCTTGCCTTGAGGGGTCCCTCATCTCTATTTGGGTAGGTCAACTTGAATTCCTCAGCTGTGCCCTGGCCTGATTCTCCATCTAGGCTCACAAAGTCCTCTTCTTCCCCTCTTCAAAATTCTCTCCTTCCTTCAAGTCCCGCTAAGTGGGAATCATTTGCAATATCTTCCTCCTTAGTCTTCTGATTATATGCTAAAGCATGAGACTCTGAACCAGTGACTTGAAACCAGAGCTCACTGAGAGTCACTGGGAGGGGAGAAGAGTAAGACCAGGAAGGTTCCTGCTCTCCTCACAAGAACCATCTCTTTGAAGAGATGGAATGCACTCATGTGGAACTGATGTCAAATAACAAAATCCTACATTGCTAAACATTCTCCTGTGCCTTGCCTCTAAAGAGAGCCTAGGGAAAGGAATGTCTGGGAGCTTCCCAGAGGCTAGCATAATGGGCACCAAAGCAACCCCAGGAGCAAGAGCAGAGAAGCAGCAGAGCCTCACAAAGACTTGCCATACCAGCACCACCATGTCTGCAGCAGGGCTGTGGCGTGAACCCCTGGGAGGGGCAGACTCCTGTCTTCTCCTCATCTTGGATCCCTCACTTTCTAACTCTTGAACTAAGCTTCAAAAATTCAACACCCTCTTATGTCTTACTGAAAAAGGGACATTTGGATTTAGATCACACCTCTCCAGTCCAAAGGGCAGTCTTCGCCAGGCAGACTAATGAGAAACCAAACATTTTTTCCCCCTGCTGCCCAAAATTAGGATAAGATAGAGCCCCTCAGCTTGACTGTCAAGGTCATTTGTGGCCTGGCTGCTTCCTTTTCTCTAGCCTCCCATTAGCCTTGCCCAAGTCCTCAGTTAGATTGAGCCACTGACAGTTTCTCATGACATGTCTTCTCTAGCCAGAGGCCTTTGTCTCTCCTGCTCTCTCAACCTAGAATCCCGCTTCCTTATAAACCTATCAGATCCTGAATTATTCCGTTCAGCAGCACAGTGGAAATCTAAGGAGCCTTGAGATCTTAGGCCAAGAGTCTCTTCTTTAAAGGAAACCTCCTGGAAACACTCTCTTCCCTCTCCAATGCTTGATTAAATTCCTGCTCCAGGCCTTAGTAGCCTGATGTTTTCTCCTTCCTAACACTTCCAAAACCACTGAAGATGTGGCTTTGCCTTGAGCTATCTGACAATTTGATAAAAGTCTTCTTCTTAAGACACCATGAGCCCTTTAGGAGAACAATTATCTTAATGTCCATTGTATCATGAACCAGTGCCAGACTTCCTGTAAGTGCTTGATAAATACTGGTTGAATTAGGAAACCATTCCAATACCATGACCCCAGGAGACTTTTGGGAAATGGATGGATGTGTAATGCCAGATTCGTGGGACCCCCAATAGAACTCCAGGAGTCGAATCCGATGCAATCACACAAGAGTCTTTATTGCAAGCTGGAGCCCGGACTCATAACCTTTTCCGAAGCAGCTGTCCCGAGGAGTGAGTCCTGGCCCTTAGTTCAATGAGGGTTTATAGATTTTTGGGGAATACTCACAACATGACACAGCAAATCATTTCATATGGCGGGGAAAATCAAACAACATCTCTTAACATTGATTAGCACATTCACTGGCAGGAACAAGTTGGGTAAGGGTGATTGGTGAGTTCAAGAGGTGGATACATTTGAGCTGATTGGTTTAAGCCACGAGAGGTGTACTCGATAAACTGCAGGGTTGCCTAATCATGTTATCAATCACCAAAACTACTGGGAGGGTCACCTGGCATTTCAGATATTTTCCCTGTCTCATGCTGATTGATGGTTGCTAGGGGGGTGCTATGGGTCCTCACCTAGCATAACAGAGTCAGGGACACCTGGCACCGCATATCTCTCCTGTTAAACAACTCAGCAGGGTGGGTATGAGCCTAGGAGTGCTCTGTGGGTTTTTCCAAGGACAAGGGTCACACCCCCTCCCTCGGGACAGGCCTTGAGGTAAAAGCTGGTTTCTCAAAAATGGAGTCACATCAGTTTCTCAGATGGGTCTATGGGACTCTCTAAGGTGGTCCTCTGAATATCACAGCAGAATCACTCAGGGTTCCTAGGCTTCTGGAAAGAATGCTAAAGATTGCAGAGGGAAATTCAACCTGCCAATGCCCCAGGGTCAAATTCATTAGGCTCACCCCAAGAAGGGCAGATAGGGCTGGTTTGTTGTAAAGGTCATTTAAGGGACATGGGATGAGGTCTAAAACCCAGGTGGAAGGCTAAATGCTAGGAGATATTCTGGACTCTTACCATCAGACCCCCCCTCCAAAATTAACTGAGGAGCCCCCAACCAGTGCCTAGAGGGTAGAACAGAGGAGACTGTTGATTGAGTGACAAAAAGTATGAAAAGACACTACTTTTTAAAAAAGACTAAGATCCTACCCTGGGGCTCAACAGATCAGACTAAAAATCAAAATGGAGTGACTCACACTAAAGTTCCACTTCACCAAACTGAAACTAAGTTGTTCATCTGACCTTGGAGAAATGAGGATCAGAGAGGTAATTGCCAATGTTCTCAAACAGGCCACTCTCAACTGGCAAAATAGTTCCCTGGGTCTTAATACTTTCATAATAAAAGGAAACCTAAAGTAATTTGATGTTAATCAATCAGTTTTTCTACACTTTTGTCTCGAGGGTGAGGCAGGAGGATCAGTTCAAAGCTAGCCTCAGCAAGACCCTGTCTCTAAATAAAATATATAAAAAAAGGGCTGGGTAATGTTTAAGAACCCCAGGGTTCAATCCCTGGCACAAAAAGTAAATAAATAATTGTAATTTTGCCCTTTGACAATAGGAGTAACAGTGCCTATCTTAAAAGGATGTTGTGATCTGGGTGTGGTGGCACAGGTCCATAATCTCAGCAACTGGAGAGGGTGAGGCAGGAGGACTGCAAATTCAAGGCCAGTCTCAGCAATTTAGCTAGATCCTGTCTCAAAATAAAAGGGCTGGGGGTGTGGCTTAGGGGTAGAAGGCCTCTGGGTTCAATCCCCACTACCATAAAAAATAAAATAAGAATTTTGTGAAAATTTAAAGGAGATAATCCAGTGTTGAATATAGAGCCTGGCACCGAATGAGCACTTTAAAAATGATAACTATTTCTTCTTGCTGTTGTTAGTGGAGTTAAAAAGCGAGGCGTTTCCTCCAAATCAGCCTGCCCATCAGTTCTCCAGCCTTCACCTCGTGAGTCTCAGCACCCTTTGGGAAGAGAATAAAGAGTTTAATTCCAGACTGGAGCTCAGGAGTCGCAAAGTTCCCATGAGGGAAAAAAAAAAAAATGACCCGAGACTTGTTCAGCATGAAGAAGAGGGAGAGAAAGAAATAGCAACTCGACAGCAGTTGAGGTTCACCATTTTACAACCTATGAAGAAGCCTTGGGCTTCCCTCGTCTAGTTCGACCTTCACAGCTACCTAATCAAACTGGTGTCTAGAGTTAATACTTCCATTTGTCACAGGTGGAAAGAGAGGCACAGAAGGGAGGCCTTGTTCGGGGCCGCCCAAGGCCCAAGAGCTGGTCGTCCGGCTCATTACAGGTGGAAAAAAAGTCGGCAAACACCGAGAAGCGTTGGTTAAATTCTGGCTTATATAGCAGAACAAAATCCACGGGTTGATAGGTTCGAGGCTCTACTTCCAGGGGTGAATTAGGTAGGTTACCTGGGAATTAGCATTGGAATAGGCTTCTTTTCAACTCGACGTCAAGATCCCACCAGTCTTACCTCTCTCCAGTAGGAGTACAAGGGGGTTCGTTCATGAAGAAGTGGCACCGATTATCCCCAGCCAAGGTTCTCAAAGAGAGAGACTTGCTCGGAAGCACAGACCGCAATCCCCGCCGGCCCAGCAATCTGATTGCCATAATAATGGTTTCTCCTCGGGGGGAGACGTCCGCTGCCCAGGTCTCGGGAGAAATCTCGGTTTCCGTTCTGCGCTCGGAGCAGCCCCTCCAGGATTTAACCTATTACCACCTCCGCGATCACTCCTTGGTCACAGTCGACCTCACCCTCGCCGGCTTATTCTGGCCAGCCCAATTCGTCTCTATAGCAACGCGCTAAATCGCACTATGGCGGCCGCCGAAGGACAATTCTGCCGCGTCCTCAGCCTCCCGGTTCGCCCCGCCCCCAGGCCCCGCCCCATCGCGTGTTTCCCAGGCAACGCACAAACCTCTGCTGGCCGCGTCTGCCTTGGGTCTCACTCAGTATCTGCGCAAGCGTAGCAATCATGGTTTCCATTCCCGCGTCGTTCCCCTCCAGTGTCGAGGACGAGACCGCACGGCCGAGTAGGCCCTCGGTTACTTGGGATCTGGATTTGTACAAGGATTACAAGTCTTCCTCCAAAGCGACCGCCAGTTCCGGCGCCACTGGATTTACGGCGCGACCAGCGCGGCGACCGCCAAGAAACCGGCCACGGGGTCCAGCCGAAGGTCTACTTCCTTCGGCCACGAACCTCACAGCCATCGGTGTTCTTCAGGTGCAGCCTTGGTTCCCCCGAACTCTCTTAGACCGGACCCAGAACCTGCGCCTCTCAACGCTTATCTCCAGAGGCCCGTGTTCCCCTTTCTCGCACCCTAGGGGAACCTGGATTTCTCAAAGACCCTGACCCCAACTTCTTTCCAGTCCAGCTCTGACACCTAGGGGCCCGTCTGAACGCCTTCAGCTCTGACTCCCGCGAGTAACCCGGAGTCCTAGCTCCCAACATTTCCTCCAAATCTGCCCGCCTGTCAGTTCTCCAGCCTTCACTTCGAGCCTGAACCTGCCTGAGCCTGGTGAGACCAGGGTCCACCTCAGGCTTGAAACTTTCCAACACCCGTCTTCTTAGCCTCCACGTTTCTCAGTGATACTGGAAAAAACCCCAGTTGTCTACCTGTTCCCTATCATTAGGAGTCCCAATTTCCCGCACCCTTTTTCATTTCTGAATTCCTGTCGCTGCATCTCTTGAAGGCTCCTGTAGAGGACTGGCTGTGGAAGGCAATTTGGTTCAAAATGACCATTATTTATTACTTGAAAGGGAATATTTCCAATCATTGTTTTTTTTTAAAAAAAAATCTTTTCTTGTATTGATAAATTTGGTGCATTGCTAAGAGGATGAAGAATGTTTTATGACCAGGCTTGGTAACACACATATATCAGCCTCTGCAATTTAGGGAGAACTTCCCACAAAATGATAAGGGCTAGTTATGTAGTGCAGTGGTAGCACAACCCTGGGTTCAATCCCAGGACCACCACACACACACAAATATGTATCTTTAAATATTTTTAGAATTTTAGTGTTTTTTTTTAAAACAAGATTTAGGGGACTTGCTGTAAGCACCTTGACCTCTGAACTAGTTTTTTCCATTAACTCATGTCTAATGCTGTGTTGCCCTGCAAAGAAGTCAGAGAAATGAAAATGAGAGATTGGAGATATTTGTTTATTAATATTTGTTTGTAAATATAAAAATATTCACAAGACCATTGTTCCAAATTGGCTGAAGATGAATTAGAAAATAAAATCTAACCCTTCAAAATGTTTTACCCTTTAGAAAATTGCCTTTTAAAATCGCAGTTAGGAAAGTAATATACACTTATAGAAAAATCAGAAAAGAAAGACCAGCAAAATGAATGACCTGAGACAATCACTGTAGCATCTTGACATATATCATTCCAGGTCCATTCATACACGTGTGTTAAACTTTTTGAAAAATCCGTCACAAAGAGTTCATTGTTTAGTTACCTGATTTTTCCCCATCTAATACACCTAAGATGTTTATTTTTTTTAACTATCTTTTTTTTATGGACCTTTATTTTATTTATTTATATATGGTGCTGAGAATCAAACCCAGTGCCTCACACATGCTAGGCAGGTGCTCTACCTCTGAGCTACAACCCCAGCCCCAGTGTTTATGTTTTATACATAGTCACATATATTTTATTGTCTGGCTTGCTAAAGTTATTCGTTTTTCTTTTCTCATTGTTCTACATTTAGTTTCCAAATTTTAGCAAATACGAGCATTTATTTTTAAGTAAGCCAAAACATTTAAAGGTATATATTTGTTAAACCACTTCATGGTGTAACCAAATTATCAATATTGAAAACTCAGTGGCTGGCAATACCTGGTCTTTTTTTTTTTTTTTTTTAATCAATTCCTCATTTTGTTCAAATTTTTTACTTGGAGTACCTGGCTCCATCCTATTCCACCTTCCCCACCTCATCCCATTTCTACTCACTTTCCAGAGTCTTCTAAAGCCCTGTGCACTCCAAACTTCCCTCATGTTTGTAAATTTTTCCCAAACCCTTTTCCCTTAGAATTTCCCTATTAACCAGCCCAATCTTTGTACAGACTCTTTATTTTATTTTTCCCCTGTTCTGATTTACTCCCCACTTCTTAGATTCTCCTTAGATTTATGCTGTGAAGTTCTGCTCCAACCCACCATATCCTCTCTCAAATTCAACCCTTTGACCTGGTTCTCCAACTTTGACTCTTCTCTAAGATTGTTCCGTTTCACCTTCTTTTTTTCATTAAGGTAACTGCTTCTAGGGCTAGGGGTATAGCTCAGTAATAAAGTGTTTGCCTAGTATGTGCAGGAGCCTGGGTTCCATCCTCAGCATTGCCCTCCCCGCCAATAAAAGCCAAACAAACAAAAAACAGTTACTGAGGGTTGAGCATTGTCTCTGATTCCGTTTACACTTCTCTTTGGACTGCTCTTGGCTCTTCAACATCCTTCTCAGGTATCCAAGTCACAGTTCTTTAGCACACACCTTGTCCACAAGGAGAGAAACATGGTTATTCCCTTGCTCCTCTAAAAATTATGAGAAAGCTGTGCATGTCCTAAGAAACTTCAGCCACTCCCCCAGAAGCCAATGAAATCAGGCCCTAACCCTGGCTTTGGTCTCAGCCATCTCTAACTGGTACTACTTTCCCCTCCCCATTCCAGTATAATGGATTCCAGTGAAGCAGCATTGAGCAAATTTTTACCCAAGAGCCACTTATCTCGGGTGATTATTCGTGACAACCTCAGTGCACAAGGAGTCTATGAGACAGAGGTAAAGTAGTCACAGTTTTTGCATTAGAGTGTGTTAAGGATTTAAATCATATTCATTTTATATTCCCCGTATCCTGGAGGCAGTAGATCCTTGAGGTGATAGGGAGTCATCAAGATGTTCTAGGGGAGACCCCATTTTTACAGAGGAGGCAGTTGATAATTGGGGTTACTGACTTGTTCATGGTATCATACCTGTTCCTGAACTAAAGGAGCCAGAGAGAAAGACTCCATGGTTTTTTGCCTCTTGTATTTTTTTCTCAAAGTATATTATCTCTCTAGGGAATTCATGAATACATTCTTACTATTCCCATTCAAAGTCTTAGGTTCTAGAGCTTGAATCAACATCAACATTTATCTGGTCATTTTTTTTACTCTGGGTGTTAACCCCATTTTCCAGATTAAAACTGAGGCTCTTTTTGATTATGAACAAGTAGGGTTTGACCTATATACTTGGAAGCCCAAGTGTTGGCACTCCAGTGCTCCCCCTGGACCCTGATTGATTCATTCATTAAACATGTCTTTAGGAACTGCTTGGGACAGGCATTGTTAGGCAGTAGGAAGAGATAATTGAATAAGATTCATTTCTTCAAGTAGAGCATTTATTCCAGAGTTGAGCTTTTGTCCCCTTCTTGATTGTTGAGCTTTCCTCCATGTTCCTAGGTCAAATCTGGATGGGCCTATGGGATTCTCACATAGAAAAGAGTGGAGAAGGTCTGTGGATGTAGCTCAGTGGTAGAGCCCTTGACAAGCATGCATGAGGTCCTGGGTTTGATCCTTAGTACTGCCAAAAAAGAAAAGAATGGAGAGCCTTAAGAGAGAGTACCAGATCCTCTTGAGGGCCATATAAACCAAAAACAAAGACTTGGGGGGGCATGTAGCTGAGTGGCAGAGCACTTGCTTAGCATGTACAATGATGCCCTGGGTTCTATCCCCAGCGTTATGAAACAACTACCAAAAACCCCAAAGCAGATCAGGGCCTGGGTATTTACTAAACTTGCAGTGGAGTAATGTAGTAGAAATAAGGTGGACTTGGGCTTGGAGAATGGCAGGCCAGCTTTGGGTAACATTCAGTGATTTGTTCTTCCCAGCCTCTCTTTTCTTATAGGATCTATTAAGACCTATATAGGATCTATTAAGACCCTTTCAGTTGCAGGTTATATAAACAACTTGAATTAGTTCAAGCAAAATAGAGGAATCTGGGTTTGCATAATCAAGGATGGATAGATCAGCTTCACCAGTGTTTGGGATGAGGGAAGCCAGGGGTTCCAATACCTTTGGTGTGTCTTCCACTCCTCCTCTTCTTCTCTTGCTGCTTTCTGAATATTATCATAATCAGGCTAATTTTCCTTGGAGGACAAGCCACCCTGGCATGTAGACCACAAAAGGAACACAGTGCTTTTGCTGTTGATCAAGTTAGTCAAGTCCTGGAGAAAACCCCCAGTTGGCCGCAGTTGGGACTTGGGCCTGTTCCTGCTCCAATCATGGTGACGAGGTGGTGTGTTGTGTTCTGGCTGACTCAGGACTAACCTCTATATTCACTTTGGAGAGAATGTTGTACCTTGCCAGTGGGGCAAAAAACTCTGAAATACTGTACCTGGAAACTTCTGCATTGTCTAGAGGGCTGGTTCATCCTTCAGCCACCCAGAAGCTTCCTTTTAAAACTAGTATTTAGCCCTATGTATGATAGGGACTTGATATCTATTATATATTATTACATTCACTTAATAAATCAGGAAATCGAGACTTAGAGACATGGAGTAATTTACTTGGGTCACATGCTCATTGCAGAATTGCAATCCAGGTCATTGTGCAGATTCTTCCTTAAGGAAAGAGACTGTCTTCTTTATGTTATAAACCTGGAAACTAGCCCAGAGGCTGGCTTACAGGAACTCAGTGGATTCAGGCACCTCAGTGATAATGTGGCAATATTCCTGTCTCCCCACCAAAAGTATTCACACTGGGGAAAGAGATAGCTTTGGATGGACACCAACTTCAGTGAATACAACTAAGATCTAGTGTCTTAAGAATCCCTTGAGCATGCTCTGAGAACAGTGAGTAACGGCTGGTATCATTCATCTACAGCCATGTGCTCAAGCAGGATGGTTTTGCCCCACAGGGGACATTGACAATGTCTGGAGATATTTTTGGTCACCAGAAATTGAAATGGTGTGGATGCTACTATCGTTTAGTAGGTAAAGGCCAAGGATGCTCATAAAAATTCCTACAATGTGCATGTTAAAGAATTGACCAACCCCAAACATCAATAGTGTCAATGTTGAGGAACTCTGATTTCTTGTAAGCCAAGCTCAAAGTGAAATCACGAGCTGACACAGCCCAAATGCTAGATGTCATGGAGTAGACTAGAAAATAGTGGTAAAAGCAGCCATTTACTTCTCAGTGGTTGGATCAGAATTATCTCAGGTACATGATAAGAAAATAGATTCCTGGGTCCCTCCAAACCCTACTAAACTAGAATTTCTGAGGTCTATAATTTTATCAAGCAACTGAAGTGTTTCTTATATTCAGCCAGGTATAGAGACCACCAATTTGAATTATATAATTTAGTGTCCATTCTTTTTGTCACTATCCTCCCTTTAATTTGCTGTGTCAAATAATCATGTCAACATTGACTAGCATTTATTAAAAACTCCTTTGCTTAGCATTGTGCTAAATCTTCAAATAATTTTAGTGCTTATCTGAATCCCTTGGGAAGCTTGTTAGATCAGCTCTTACCATATTGTTTCTACATGTCTCAAACCTCCCCATCCTTCAAAATCCAACCCCAACTTATATGCCATCCGTTCTGTTACAGGGCCTGACTCTGGACCTACATGGAGGACGCTTATCTTGCTCATTGTGTAGCAAGAAAGTGCTAACATAGAATTCTATGTTTTGGGACAGAGTGCTGTCAGAACACTGGCAAGCACAATTTCCTTGCTCCCTTTGAAAGGAGTTATATGGCAGTTTTTGAACTCTTGGTGTCTGGACTCCTGTAATATGATATGTTGCATATCACCTCTGGCCTATTGTGACTATTATAGGTAAATTGGCACATCCCCACTACAAAAGCTATTTTTGCTGTACAATAAAGCAGATAAAGTTCTCTGAAATTGTCTCTGGAGAGGTTTCTCTGCACCCAAAAGCTCCCCACTATCAATGCTGGAATGGCAGGCCCCTCAGCACCCACCATGCAGCATTTTTTTTTTCAGAGTTGGGGATCAAATCCAGGGCCTCATGGATGCTAAGCCTAGACTCTACCCCTGAGCTACACTCACAGCCCTATGCAGATTTTCTTGATATCTGCCCTCTTTTGAATTCAATGCTTCTTTTATGAGTAATTACTTTCTTCCTGGTTTAGAAATATTTATGTGTGTGTCTCTCTCTTTCTGACTATGTTTTAGTTATTGGAAACACCTGTGGCGGATTTGTCTTAGCATCCCTTCCCATAGCTAGCTTGTTGGAATAAATAACTGAATGTGTAAGACACAGATATGCCTTCCCAGACCTTATAATGTTGTTAGAACAGGGAAGAAGTTATATTAGAAGTAACAATAAGAATTCATGGGATAATAAGGGATTTCACAGACAATATATGGGAAGCACTAGATGATTAACAGGGACAGGGTGATGGTGGTTGTAAGAAAGAGGTGTTTCTCCCTCTTTCTAGACACATCCATCCCACAACCCCAATCCCCCATTTTTACTGACTGGTCTTCAGCATTACAGTCAAAATCAGACTTCTTGGCTTCACACTGTCAGAATGTAACATAGGGGTTATTCACTTTTTATAAATGAGGAAACCAAGGCTCCCTATGAATTATGGTATTTATGAAATGAATATTGGGTCCAGCAGGGACATTTTCCACTCCCAAATCAGCAGCCCTAGATGCTTATCTTGCTGTGAAGTGGCTTCTTCATCCCTAACCTCACCTTTATTTTTTGTAAGATAAGAGCTTCAGACAAGACCAAGAAAAAGATGAGCCATTTGTACGACCATCTGAAAAAAAAGTTTTTGACAGACCAACTCAGAAAGCTGGGGCGCTGGAGACAGGAATCCATGAACATCCAGCAGTACTTGGATAAAATCTGGACGCACAAGGTCCAGTCTTGCAAGAAAAGCCATCCACCCTATTTATGGCAGAATGATCTGACCCAGGGTCACGGCACTAGTCGTGACCAGGGAAGAACTAGAAGCTAGACATCATCATTGAACAATAAACCGAGACCAGCAGACAGCAGAGCACCAAAAAATCCCTCAGCAATTCTAATATTCTTTGTCCTACCCATCCTCTCTATTCTGGTGAAAGAGATCCTGACAGTCCCGATTCAGAGGCTGAATCAAGCCAGTCTCCATGATTCAGGCAAAGATTGACTTTTCAGTGCCCCTATTTCTTTTTCTTCCTTCTTTCCCTACACTGGGAATTGAACCCAGGGAATTACACATGTTAAGTATGCATTCCATTACTGAGCTAACGCCAGTACCCACATTTCTAAAGTGATATATCCTACTGAGGTATTCTGGGAAATGGAAACTTAGATGGGAATGACTATGACTATGACTCAATAATGCCACTGCCTGGCATTCCAGTGGTGAGAACTTCAGATTGGGGCATCAGAGAGTGCTATTTCTGCCACTTATCACTCATGTGACCTTGTAACCTCCATGGGCCTATTTCCTTATCTGAAAGAATCAGGTTATAGAAAGGGAACCTGCCTCCAAGAACTGACATGAGGCTGTCAAGTGCTTGGCCCTAGACCCATCATTTCCAATGGCTACCATCAGAATGGCCCCAGTTAGCTTCTAGCCTTGGGGAAGGTTCCCACTCCGTTTTCTGCTTGCTATCATGACTACATCCTGATAGTCTCCAATCTGGTTCCTGTAGCAGCTTCTTTCTGTCTTGTGTAGTAGCTGTTTGGATGTTTGTGATAATCCCTGACTTGAGTGTACACTCTGGGAACCAAGGACCTTCCAAGATTCAGTTCAAGCCTTATTTCTTCTTTGATGCTTTTCCTCACTGGCCCTAGAAAGAAAGGCTGCTTCTTCCTGGCCTTGGTGTGTCCACTCTCATCTCTGCACAGTTTAGTTGGCCATTACTTGTTTGCACAGTCTCCCTGATCAGGTTGTGAATGTTTTGATGATAGCAGTACTGATACCATAATGCCTAGTAAATGGAGTGGTCATTCACTGTGTTTTGAACAGATGACTATCTTATTTCTCTCTCTATTATAGCATCAGGACAGTGCACAGAGGAAGGGCTTGGTACTTATTTTTAAGTTAACTGAGTCTTCTCATTTTACAGATGAGGAAACTGAGGCCTAAAGAATAGCCTGATTTACCCAAGGTCATATGGCAAGTTAGTGGCAGAGAATTAAAACCAGGTGTCCCAACTCCCGTAGAATGGTCATTCTGCATCACCACAGCTGCTAGGTGAGGACCTTAGTCCTCTCAGTGGCTCTTGGAAGTCATCCTTGGGAAGTTCTCCACATTCCTCCTCCCCACTCTCTCCAGCGCTGCTGCCTGGTGCCATTTGGCAGCCTTGCCCATAAACTGGAGGATCTCAGTGAACTCTGAGGCCAGAGGGGCCTGGGTTAGGGGTAGGGAGGCAGATGTTTTTATTTCTCCCTTTTATGGTCTTCTTTTAACACTGGAGCCTGCTTCTTTTCAGTGGGAGCCCAAAACATCATTTTCTAGATTCATATTTTTTTCTGAGCACAATTGATTAAAATAAATTAATTCAAAATATTCACGTTATATAAGCAATATGTCTACATTGGCACAAAAAATCAACTAAAACAATAACAAAAATGTGGCTCTTCTCTTAGATAAGCTAGCTTTTTGGTATATTACTTATATTTAGTATATTTGTTCTATTTCAACAAATCTTTTTCTTTCTTTGGCATAGTACCCAGAAGGGAGGAAGACGTTGGGGATACTGGAATCTTCAGGAGGCTGCAGAACAGGCCCAGTTCCTTTTATCCCCAAATTATCCCTAGGAACTTTCTATGTCCTATGTTTAACCTAATGCAGCTTTTCTGAGCTTTGCCCAGGCACCACACACCTTTCTCCCTTGGAGAAACTGGCTTTGCCTGAGTGAAGGTCTTTGAGTTCCCACGTGGTACCCAAAAGACAGAGTAGACCCTTGGGGTGGGTAGAAGGAGCTAGGAAGGAGTTGGTTACTTTTATAAGCCACTGACTTACCTCTGATTGACTTAATCTTCTCATTTTTTATTGAAAAAACAGAGGCTATTGCATTTAGGTTGGGAAAAAGAAGCAATGAAATTCAAGAGAAGCCACTTAGTTATTGGAAGGGAAGAAGGAGATTAAAAAGAAGAAAAATTAGGGAAGAATGGAGTGTTGGATGGGGAAAATATTATGAGGAGGAGGAACTTAAAGATTTAGTCCAGTGAATATGTACATGCACATGGACACACACATGGAACACCAATGAAATGTTACAGAGAAGCCCATTCCAGTAGTCAGAACCATTAACATACTAACATTTATTGAGCACTCATGTGCTCAGTAATGCACAAGGCTTAGCTCTTTTCAAACATGATCTCATTGAATTTTCCCCATCTATGAGTGAGAAAATGAGGTTCAAAGAGTAAGAATCTTGACCAAAGTTGGACAGTGACAAAATCAAACCCCAACCCTGTCTCAAACTGAAGCCCATCTCCTAACCACCACATTTAGACTCCCTGTCTTTATCACTCCAGGTGGAAGCAGAGGGCCTGTGACTCCAGAGCACATATCAAATCCTTGCTCTTAACTCTATGATTTCACAGATGATATTATGGGGTCTCAGTATCATCAGTCCTGTGAGTTCAGCTGTTTAACAGCAGAACTGAACTCAAACCTAGTTGTTCTTATGCCAAGTGGCCTTCAGCCACCCATTCTGGGACGCATAAGCTATTAAGGAAAGTTAAGACAGGTTTAGTTGATGCAGACAAGGGAGATGCTCACCTAAGAAGTGGAAGGAAAGAGCAGTCCTATTTACTTCCTGGTAGTTGTGAAAAGATATTCTCAACATCAATCAAGAAATCATTACTAAATACCCTTTGTGACTGAAGCTCTGTGATAATGGCAGGGATAGGTGAATGGTACTTTCTTTTAAAGAGATTAAGTATGTTTGAGCACACCATTATTTTCTGCTGAAAATACATTCCATTCCCTCCTCCTCTACCCTCCCCCAATGCATTTCACTAATTTGGAGCAGTTGGAAAAGCTTAGTTGAAAAATTTGCAAGGTGTACACTGGAACTTGTTGCTTCCCTCTCTAGAATTTCTCCATAATCTGGGATATAAGGAAGAAAACTTCTATTTACTGAACAGCTATAATATGGAAAACATTGTATATTTTACCTCATTAATTCCTTATAGCACTTTCCAGGCATCATGCCCATTTGCAGCTGAGAAAACCAAGGCACAGTTGGGTGCAGTGGTGTACTCCTGTAATCCCAGCTATTCAGGAGGCTTATGCACGAAAGAGGATTGCAACTTCAAGGTCACTTTGTCAACTGAGTGAGACTCTGTCCCAAAATAAAATAAAAGGGCTAGGGATGTAGGTTAGTGACAAATTGCTTGCCTAACATGTGAGGCCCTGGATTAGGTATCCAGTACCACAGTAAATTTTAAAAAAAAGACACAGGGAGGTTAAGGAGTTTGCTCTGAGTCATTTGATTTGAACCAGACTATAGCAGATTATAGGTATATGGGGTGTACTCTTTCCACACCAGCCCACTGCCTCCAGCTGTGCTGAGCTTTATTGTGAGTAAAAAGCTTAATTTCAGCCACAGTTTATTGAAGGCACTGTTCTGCAAGAAATGCCCATGTTTGGAGCTTCCTATTCATGGCCTCTGGCTCCTGTCTCTCCTCCTATAGTTATAGCTATTAAGTATGGTGGTAAATAAAATAGCAGGAAGGAAATCCGGGCGAAGACTCATTCCCTTTATTTCTGGTCCCAGCTCTGAGCTGGGGGAGGTGGCTCTAGAACACTAGTTTGATAGATCTGGAACAGCCTGCCAAGGGAGGTAGGCAGCTGGAATCGTAGGGAGCAGAGGAGGCAAGTGGCTCTGCCCCAGTTGCTGCTTGAGTGAACTCCATGTTCTTTATTTCTGCTTCATTCATCCATTCATCCATCTATCCACCCATCCACCATCCCACTCATCTATCCACTTACCCATGTGGCACTTCAACACAACCAGAGCACAAAGATGGAGGAATTGGTTTTCTTGTTTGCTGTTACATCTATGCCTTTTCCTGATCAGGGCAGGCAAGTGGAGTGACCTGCAGCTTTGGAGTGCCTCTACCCTGATGCACTCTGATTTTGAGCAAGTCCCCTTTCCCACTTTGAGAATTTGGGGCTGGAAGACCTGTATTGTGTAGAGCCTCTCCTATTTCACATGTGGGTAACTGAAGCTGGGAGTGGGAAATGGCCTTACCAAAGTCAGGTAAGGATTTGGAGGTGGATACGGGACTGGACCACAAGATGCTGACACTCATTTGTACAATGGGAATGGGAATCCTGGCTTTCCTCATCGCTCAGGATTATAGAGAATGCCACAATATAAGAAAAGTGAGGGGAAATGCTTTGAGAAATGAAGTCACAGGCCAAAAATGTCTCAGATATGCACTGGGGCCCTGGCTGCTGGACCACAGATGAATCACACAGTGACCACCAGAGGTCAGCAGATGCTTGTATTTATGTGTCAACGATAGCTCTGGTGGAGTCTCGCTGCCTGTATTTGAGGTCTAAGAAGGGAAACCAAGTCATTTTATCCCCAGGATTCAAGATAGAAACAGACACAAGCACGTATCATGGCCCAGCCCTTTGTTGAGTTATAAAGAGTTATTCCAGATAAGTCAGAGCCTGGCCTAGCTGCTGATTTTGAAAGTCAGCAGTGCTAGAAGAGCTGAGGGGACAATGCCAGGGCAGGCCTTGGACTGGGGCTCCCTCCCTCTCCTAGGAAACCTCTGTAGGCTTTAACTCTCCCACCTGAAACTCATGATGGCATGTAGCTGTATTCCCAGCAATGGTAACATAGGGAGACTTCATCTCAAAAACAAAACAAGCAAGCAAAACCAGACCAAAACAACAACAACAACAACAACAAAAAAAAAAACCCGCCATTTCTCAGACCTGAGATGAGTCACAGGGCTTTGCACATGTAATGTTCTCAAATATCTGCTAAATGAAAGGCAACAGATCGTGCTCTGAATGAAGCCAGAATACCTAGGCTTATATAACATAATTCAGGGTTTTATTTTACTAGTGTATTCATCACTTCAAAATGATTGCAGTGGGATTCCTTTAGCTACTCTGCTCATCTGGGAGCATTTTTAGAGGTTCTGTCACCTCAGTAGATTCTGGTCTCTCAGCTGCTGGAATTATTACTGTACAGATAGTCTTTTTAAGCTTTTCCCATGTTTAACCAACACTTTGCACTTCACCTTGCACATGTTTATTGATAAACTTGTATGTACCAGGCACTTTTTCTTTTAATTCAAAGGATATTTAATGAACATCTGTTTATGATGTGCCAGTCACTAGTCCATACCCTGGGGATGTGGCAGTGAACAAAGGAGAGCCCCTGGCTCTTTGGAATCACATGTTGTGGGGGAGAAAGACACCAGACAAGGTGAGTAGGTAAATTAGGGGCTCTGTTAGAAGACAGTAAGTGCTAGAGAGAAATATAGCACCCTATCATAATGAAGCTGCCTTGGAAAACACTCTGGCAGTTCTTCAAAATGTTAAACACAGAGTTGCCACTTAACAAAGCAGTTCTTTTAGGCATATACCCAAGAGAAATGAAAACATATATTCATACAAAACTTTGTACATGTTCATAGCAGCATCATTCTATATACCAAAAAGTAAAAACAACTTACATGCCCATCAATGGATGTGTGGAGAAAAAAATGTAGTCTGTCTGCATAATGCAATAGTATTTGGCAACAAAAAGAAATGAACTGAGATATGCTACAATATGAGTGAACCTTGAAAACATTACATGAAGTGAAGGAAGTTAATCCCCAAAGATCATGTAGTATAGGATCCTATTATATGAAATGTCCAGAACAACTCATAGAGATAGAAAGTAGAGCTGGGCATGGTAGTGCATGCCTATAATCCCAGAAATTTAGGAGACTGAGGCTAGAGGATCATGTCTGAGGCCAGTCTCAACAACTTAACAAGACCCTCAGCAACTTACCAAAACCTTTTCTCAACAGAGAATGTAGAGCACCCCTGGGTTCAATCCCCAGTAACCTTCCCCTATCCCCCACCCACCAAAATTAGTGGTGGCCTAGGGGTGGGAGGGGAGGCAGGGACTTGGTAGGTAAAGGGTACAGAGGTTCCTTCAGAGATGATAAAAATTGTTCTAAACTTCATCATGGTGTTGGTTATGATAGGTAACAGAAGTGAGCAGTGGGAACATGAGGTTAAAAGTATAATTCTATAGATCAGGACTACTGTGCTGACCCTCACATTTTTTCTTCTGAAGGACAATTTGCCTGAGGATGCTTTGGCCCTATCTGGACTAAATTAATAGGGAGTGCTAAATTCCTTGGCAA